TACATGAAAGACAACAGATCTGGCTAGCTGCTAAAATAACTACTAATATTTTACAGTTTGTCAAAAATGTACTTCTATCTAAAAAGGAGGAAAAAAAAGAATTTATTTTCTCATACTGAAAGCCACTGTTTAAACTTTGGCAGGAGTCACCACATACCCAGCAAACACCTAGTCGCTGCCAGGTCTGGTGCTAAGCCCCCAGGACCCACAGCGGAAAAATCCTAGTCCCTGCATTCAAGTAGCTCAAAAGTCACTCTTAAGACACACGTGCCAACAAAAATACTATAAGCTGGTTAACAGTGATATAGATGATGTGCACAAAGTTCAATGAGGGTAGATCAATACAGGGTATATTCTATTCCTAATACAGCAGGGGAAACAAGACCTGCAATTTCTGACCAGCGGACCACGCATAAGACAGCACACTAGAAGCCCTGTCCTCTACTAGGACCGCCTTTTACGTCATGGGCCCCCCGGGCAAGTCAATGATGAGAAACCCCTTCAAATTATGAAATCAACAACTTCTGCAAATTTCAAGCTATACTAAAATTCTTGGTTTAATTCAGCTTCAAGTTCACTATAAATAGAATGACAGCACGTTAACAAATAATTGTATAGTACCGTGCTCTGATTCATGAAGGAATTTGGGAAAAGTTGACCAAATTTTCTAGTTTTCTGTGTACTTATGGGGACTTATGATCTAGCTCATTCAATAAACATTTATTAAGTTCCTACTATGAGTTTATGTTCCAGGTGCCTGCACACACAGCAGTGAACAAGAAAGATAGGCTACCTGCTTCTCTATAGTTTTATTCTAATTGTAGGTGACAGGTAATAAATAAATACATAATCAAACAATAAATATGGTTAAGTGCCAAAAGTTGTAAGAGCATAATCTGTGAACAAGTAACCAGGAGCCATATAAGGCGGTACCTCTATGTATCATTAATACCATCTCCTGGAGTCTGTATGCTAGTCTGAAAATAGTTTTGAAAGAAAAGAAAAATAACCAATCCAAACTAACAGCCCTGAAGAAGCACTCTGTAGACAGATGACTACTTTTCACAAAACAGAGGGACTTAGTACATCGAATTCCTAATAAAAAACAACTCAACATGTGCATCAGAAACTTCAGCTGCTTCCACAGTCACATTACTACCAGTCCAGAACGACTACCAGAGCCCTCGCTTCGGCAGCACAGATACTAAAGCTGAGACAATACAGAGATTAGCATGGCCCCTGTGCAACGGTGACACGCAAACTCATGAAGCGCTCCATACTTCTGTATGTACACGGATGACTGAAACATGACGCTGTGCACCAGAAACTGACACACTGTAACTGACTATACAAACTTTTAAAAAATGGCTATCAGAGAACACAAGAATTTGTAGACTGTAATAAAAAATTGCTTCTCCTTAATAAAAGGTATCTAGGGACATGCTACTGTAATATTTATACTCTGGAAGACAGTGACAAAAATGAACACATACAGTTTTAGATAATTTTATAATACAGACAAGTTCCCTTCCAACATCAAGCATAAACTTAGACAGAAAAGTATTCAAAATATTAAAAAAAAAAAAGACAACTAAATAAAAGCCTGCAACAGACCAAGCAAAGGGACGTGGGAGAAAGAGACATTCACTGATCAGGCAGTCAACGCCCAGAGGACAGAGCTTAATTATCAATGAAGACAGGTTTTAAAACAAATCCGTAAAAATCTGTAAGCCTTTTTATAATATATTATAAATAAAAGAGGCTGAACTATTTTTTAAAAAGTATAAAGCTAGAGTTGTGTTATGGACTGAACTGCATCCTAAAATTCATATCTTGAGGCCCTAACTCTATGTATTGGGCCCTTTAGAGAGGTACTTAAAGTTAAATGAGGTCGTAACAGTGGGCAGGACTGGTGTCCTTCTAAGAAGAGGAAAAAACACCAGAGAAGTGGACATAGAGAAAAGGCCACATGAGGACACAGCCCAGAAGGAAAGAGGCTGGGGGGACACTGAATCTGCCCACAGCTGGACCTGCACTTCCGCCTCCACAGCTGGGGAACACAGTCCTGCTGTTTAGATAACCAGTCCGTGTACTTTGTTACACAGCCCTAGCAAACTGATACAAGACATAACAAAGTGTCATTATAAACATCACTCGGTAAATATCCTCTGTCCTATCATTCATCTCTCCCAGGAAAGAAGCAAACCAAGAAATAGACAATAAAAAACTGACTTCATACCACAGTGCCATGGCATAGAAGGGACAAGAGATCCTTATTTCCAAAATAAAAGGTGATCAGCTAGTACTCTTAAAGAGAGACAAGGAACAGGAGTGGGAATCTGAGACGACGAACAGATCGAGAAACAGCTCTCAGGTTTACAGTGATAAATGTCTGTCTAAAAACTCTCTGTGAAAGGTTCTCCATGACACAACAGAATGCATCCTGAATTGTCTTCACTTCATTTGTTCCCAGTATTTCCTAGTCCTGAAAATAACATTATATGTGCGTGTATGGATACATGTGTATACATATTATATATAGACAGAAATACAGGGAGCCAGACAGACAGACAGGAAGGCAGACACACACACACATTCCTACAGAAATATAACGCAGACAGCAATTCCGCTATAACGACTACGGGAGGAGAAGACTTCGTTCAAGCTTTACTTTGTATCTTACGCTACTGCTTCAATCTTGCCCTACGAATTAAGTTAGCCTTCCAATCTTTTGTGTGGCAGCTATTAGCTTCATATGTGAGCTTCTTTTTGCCCCAGTGAAAACCTTTTAGAACCTTCAACGACATTTCAGGGGCGTATTCCAGAAACAAACCTTTTAGTTTTCAGACCAAATTACAATTTAAGCTACTGCTCTGATTTTTCATAATTACCTTGTCCGGATCCATCTTTCCTCTGACAAATTCTTGCTTCCAGAACTGCAAAGCCTGTTCCAAGGTCAAGCCGATGCCCTTCAGGAAGAGGCCGTACTGCATGCGGCCCCCGTGACGAAGGTGGTGATTCTCCCGCAGGGCTTTGTGCAGCTGGCGCATGCAAGGCGGGAAGGATTTGGTAGAAAGCTACAAGAAAAAAAGAGTGCTTTGTTAGGTGGAGATTTATCAGGTCCCCCACACAGTCTGTTGCAAAGTCAATTTAATTTGCAAATTGTAAATTCAGTCTAATTGGAGTAAAAACAAAAAGCATAAGCAAGTATGATCGTCTCTCTGTGATTAAAGATGAACTATTTAATATTTTTATAGAGATTACAGGTTGAAATGATAGCATTTTAGATATTATCACTTAGATAGATATATTAGGCTAAATAAAATACATAATTAAAATGCATTTCACCTATTTCTTTTTTTTAATTTTTAATTAAACTTCTTCTTTCAAGATAACTTATAGATTTCTGTGCAGTTGTAAGAAGTAATACAGAGAGATGTCATGTACTGAGTTTCCCCCAAAGGTAACATCTTGCACAACCATAGTATATTATCACAACCAAGACACTGATGTTGACACAATCCTCTAGTCCTAGATTTTCTCAGCTGCTCATGTGCCCATTTCTGGGTATGTAATGTTTCATGCATCCACCATCACAAGAACCCCTCGTGTTTCCCTTTTATAACCTCAATCTTCTGAACCCTGCACGCCACCTCCCACCATCCCCTAACCCTTGGCAACCACTAATCTGTCTCCATCTCTATAATTCTGTCATTTCAAGAGTGTTATATAAATAAAATCACACAGTGTGTGATGTTTTGACATTGGCTTTTTTACTCAGCATCAGTCCCACAAAATTCATCAAGGTTGCTGCAGGTATCAACAGCTCGCTCCTTTTGTACTGCTGAGTCACATTCCACAGTTATCCCTAGGGACGTTGCCGGGCCCAGGGACAACATCAGGAGTCGTGTCCGCGCAGAGGCCCCGACCTGAGACAGGGTGGGCAGTGCCAGCACCACGGAGACCTACCAGGTGGTAGGATGTGACCACCAGGGCTCACAGGAGCTGGCACAGCAGCGGAAGGCAGAGAGATGGTTTGGAAGTGGTGATGTGGACCAATGAATACATTCACCCCATAACTACACGGGGTGTGGGGGGGAAGCGGCCACTGCTTGAAGGGGCCACAGAGGAGACAGTATCCCTGAAGGAGCCAGATTTCAGTTAGAAGAAAAATCTAGAGGGAACATTTGGAGAATAAACTGAGGGTGCTGAAGGGTGTGCTAATGACAGGCTGTCGTGAGGATGATGCAGTAGGGACACTATTTGGAAGACGTCCAGATACAGACATATCTCTGTCATGTGGCCCAAAGTCCCAGGCAGAGTGGAGATGTCACCACCGCACCTGACATGCTTTATAATTAGGTTGCTCATTTACTATTCACTATCTTTTCAGCCTCCCTCAGGTAAGGCTCACGAAGGTAGGGGCATTTTCAGTTTTTTTCACCTCCACATTCACAGCACAGTGGCTGGTATGTACTTGCTGGGCTCAATATACATTCACCAAGTGAATTAGTGATTATTCTTCTATGTTTCCCCACAGTATCCAGCCGAATTCCCATTTGCTTGTGAATGGGAAAACACCCTGGGAAGACTAGGAACAGAATCAACCTCCAACCATTCATAAGGTAACATAAACACGAATGATACGGAGGGGAGGAAGTGCTGAAACAACCATTTGAAAAAAGTAAAGGGTGGGATATTCTTGGGAACAAATTTCAAACCAAGTGTACAAGGTGGGCAATCCTACAGGTATTTCTAGATACATTAACAGTAAGCACTTGATGATAATTATTCAGATAGGAAGGCGACCTATTCATTCTGGTCTCCAAAGACTCATGGTCTCTCCTCACTCACCACTGTTATGTCTTGCTTCCAAACATTAAAGTCTCAGTGTATTTTTTTTAATCTCAGTGTATTTGTAATCTATTGTAAATAATTTGGTAAATGTCTAAACAAAGATTATTAATGGCTTATTTAGTTCCCCTCTGATGAGTAAAGCAGAAATTCTACAACGTACCGAAGGGAAATTCTACAAATCAGAAGCAGAGTCAAGTGTGCCGCTCTTTCTTTCTGCTATGGAACCATGGAGTGATGCTGAAATGCGCCGCCCACTGATGGAGCAGCAGCCCGAGGCGGGGAGCCTGCACCTAGTGTTATGGAATGAATCGAATCCTCCCCAAGCTTCCGTGCCCAAGTCCCAACCCCACGACCTCAGAACGTGACTGTGCTCAGAGGTGGGGCCTGACCTGAAAGGAGGAAATGAAGGCCGCGTGAGGCCACGGGGCTGCGGCCCTGGTCCAGTGAGCCGGGCACCCTTGAGCAGAGGAGGAGACCCAGGGAGGTGGGAGCAGGAGGAAAGGCCCCAGAGGACATGGTGCGGGGAGGAGGCGGCGGCCGCCTAGACGCCAAGGAGAGAGGCCTCGGATCGTGGGACTCTCGCCTCCGGAACTGTGACAAAGGAAGTTTCTGTCGCTTACGGCCCCCAGCCTGCGGTTACTGTGTTATGGCAGCCCTGGCAAGCTGATAGCCCCAGTATTTCCCATTCTTCCTTTTCTAAATGTATATACTATTTAAATACAAACACACAGCTACTATTTAGCTATCATTACTAAAAAGAATCCCCCTTTGAAAAAATAATTAAGTTCTGTCTTTACCAGACTACAAATAATTTTCAGACTGTTTGGTTTTTCTATGATTAAAAAAAAAATCCTACGTGTAGCACACCGGATTTCCTTTAAAAATGAACGGCAAGCAATGGAATGATGTTCTCTCCCATCTCCCCACCCAAAATAATCTTTGGTTGAAGAAAATCTGTGCAGACGCCATCGACAGAGGTCTAAGTTTAAAAGGATGAGGTGCTTACCGAATCGATCTGGTCTAAAGAAATCTTCCCGGCGTTCCCCTGGGTGCTGTAATCTTGACCAGTGTAGGAATGACTGAAAATAAAAAGAACAAAATATTAAAAGAGGATCTGTAAAACATAGTTTGATCACTTCAAAGGAAACGTTTCATTCTGATATAAAGCCACAATGAGAGAACACTTTATATACAAACCTTAGGAGAAACACAGCCAGGTGTTTGAAAGGGATTTTATACGGTATTGATGACACAGAAACACAGCGCTCATCTGGGCCTCCTGGACCCCAGTTCCAGTGGACGCACAATGCAAACCACTGCTGAAGGTCCAGCCTCTTCCACTGACCCCTTATCAACAGCACGGTGGCCGAGCTGAGACCAGCCTGGAGCTGACGTCCGGGGCCACCGCTCAGTAGGTCCTTGAGTAGGTCACCTCGCTCTCTGTACCCCAGGCTCCCTGCCTGTCAGACAGAGATGACAGCGCCTGCTGTCAGGACGTCTGGATCGAAATATTTTTTGTCAAAGGACCTGACATACAGTAATCACTATTCATTAAAACAAGTGACATCGGAACAGCCCTTTACATGTGCAAAGAGTCCGTATCTATTTCCTCTCATTACACCCTCACGGCAACCCCAGAGAGCGTGTTTATTTTACATCTGAGAAATGAGGAAGCTGTTAGATCAGAGAGCAGGTGAGCAGTGCAATCGTACTGTTCTTTCTTGATACATTAATGGCAAGTACTTGATAATTTTTCAAACAGGAAGGCAACCCATTCATTCTGGTCTCCAAAAACTCAGCCTCTCCCCTCTCACCATTCACCACTGTGTGCCTTGTTTTCAAACGTTACAATCTCACTGGACTCAAACTTCCTGACTCCCAGCTTGCTGTTTGTTCACCATCCCCTGCCATTCTCCCCTCGAGGATATACTTCCTGCTAAATTCTTTAGAAATGAGAACTAAAACACGGCATACATCCACCTGGGCACATTTTCATCCCCTTGACACAACTCCACACCCACATCCAACTCCATCAGTACCGACACGGATCAGACAAGGGGAGGCGCACCGGCACACAGAAGGCCACGACCACATCCTGGTTCACGCAGACGCCATGGCGAGAGGGGAGCTCTGAAATAAGGTACCACTACAGGTGCACAGAATTCCAGATGCTCCACTTGCTGTCTGCTAGGTATGTTAAGTATAGATTCTTTATGCTGAAAAACACATGCTCTCAAGATGCTCTGTAGAAAGGCTGTTGTTTCCAGTCAGTCAAGTCACTGACTGAACAATGGGTTCCTGGATTATGAAGCGGAACCACGGCCTACCTTGGGACGCTGCAGCCGCTGGCCAGGGGGCTGTCACAAGCGTAGATTTCCCTCTCTGTAGCCCGCCCTCCACGGGCTAAGAGGGCCTCAGAGTCACTGGGAGCAGGATGAGTGGAATGCCAGAGACACGGACGACCCGGCCCAGGCACGGCTTCTCACGCTGCTGTTACTTCTCGCTCTGGGCACAGACCTGGGGCAGCGTCTCCCCGGGCTCTGCCCGCTCCTTTTATCACAGCAGTGCCGCGGCACAGAGCTGACGCCAAGTTAAACCAACAGCTGCCGCTTAGCTTTAATATCTTACATTTTAATGTCGGACACAACCAGACGACTGTTTAGCTGCCGGGATCTCTTACACATGGGGCGATGAAAACAGCATAGGGAGGAGTCTGAAGGCCTGCTCTTACTTCTGTCTTTTAAATCGTTAGTTTGGCAAACGGTGGCAGCTTGCACTATTCTCATTTGTAAAATGGCACTAGTGATGCCAGGCCTGCCTGACTGGCAGACACGCTGGGGAAATCAAAGGAAATAATATATTCAAAGTGGTAATTAAAACCAGCAAAGCACATTCCAGGACACAAAGCGACTGCAGTCTTGACCAGTAAGTGTAGGGGGCGGGGGAGGGGAGGGCCAGGGAGGGAAGGGCGGCAGCATGGAGTCCTCTCCCAGCTGGGAGGCGCTGGCCCCTACAAGCTTAGGCCTCTTCAGCCAGAAGTTGATCACCATCTTCCAACTCGACAAGATTAACAAACACAGAAGTCCTCTCTATAAATGGTAAAATGATGTACAAACATGATTCTAGTGTTACTGAGCATATAGGTTTCTCAGCCCAGATAGCTGCAGTGGACTCAGTACAAAGAGAAGATACAGAAAGAGGACACATGTTTGCCTGAGCAGCAGTATAAACGGTTGCTCCTCAAGGCTCTGACAGAACATGCAACAGAGAGGGAGGGTGCAGTTCAGTGGTAGAGCGCGTACCTAGCCTGCACGAGGTCCTGGGTTCAATCCTTCCATAAAAATAAATACATAAACTGAATTACTTCCCCTCAAAAGCAAACAAACAAGCAATGCCCTCCTCCAGTAACGTGTAAAAGGGCTAAATTCCAAGAAAAAAAGTAAAAAATAGAAGAGTAGCAATGATTAATAAAGAATTTACTGGGTATAAATAACTACAGGGAGGATGTAAGGTAACTACAGACACCATACTTCTAAAAATATTATTAGAAGGAAGATGGCTACCAGCCAGCCCAGTCAGGGCAAGCGCGGAACCCCCGGGAGGAAAGGTGATGGAAATGAAGCGCTCGGGCATGAGAACTGGGAATGCGATTCCTCCGCCTGTCACCCATGACCAGAAGGGCTAACTTACGTCTTGGCTGACGTACAGCCCAGCTATTTAATGCATATTTGAGCTAGTTAGGGGTAGATGAAGCCAACGTGGGGGGAGAATTTTCAGACACAAGAAAGGCAAACCATGAGAAGCACTGTATCCGATGGTCTATGGGCAGTAAAGAACCGCAAAAAGATTTGGGGCAAGAGTTCACACCATCAGGATTATGCTTGGGAAAGGAACAACGGGAAATCAGTTGGAAAGATACTGCGATATTCCAGGCAAGAGAAGTTTTTGTAGAAGCCCGCAGCAGACAGAGAAAGAAACAAATAGTGTTGCCATCAGAGAATGAAACCCTTCGGAACAATTCGCATTAGCTCGTGAAAATGGACCTCGGCCTTTGGAAGCACCAAGGGATGTTAGCAGAGGAGCTTGATGGCGGCGCCCTGGACAGGGGGTGGGGC